CAACACACAGATAAAGTTATTTCACCATAAATCATTATGAGTTCGAGAGGATTTTCAAAAACTTCAACATGAAATACACCGGCCGCCAAAATCCTTCCTGCCCTCGTCTGAGTCAAAGGGTTGGTGCAGGTCTTTCATTTTTATCTGTCTATCTTCCTACATAGTCTCTGTTGTCAGTGCTTCTACCTACGATCTGTTCAGCCTTCGCCGCACTCGTTGATCTTGACCTCCGGCGACTTGCACGTTTCTTCTTTGCGATCTGCTTTCTGCATCAGCACGCTTGCAGCCAGTCACACAATAACTTCATAGCAGTGGGTCAAATGAATATCATTACAGATAAAGACTAGATGTGTAAACACGTAGGGAAGAATGTGGGCGGTGTAATTAATGTTCAAGTTTTACAAATGAAATTATGTTCAGCATGCAGGTGGTTGTGTGCAAGTGAATGGATGGATGTTGTGGGGACATGGATCACACTTTCGTGGTTAATGTAATAAATTGGACAGGACAGGACAAGACAGGACAGGAGAGTTCACAGAACTTGCGGCTTGGGCCAGTAAGGTAGTCCAGGTTCTTGCGTTTACGGGACAATGGGTGTCTCGTAACGCTATGACAGTGGGTTGATCGGTCTTTGGTGGTGTAGTGGTACTGCCGCGGGGCAGGGACGCCAATCCGGTTTGCTGTCGATGAAAGCAGCATCAACCGATCAGTCACAGGCTAACCATGAGGTCCGAGTACCCCTCCAGCAAACAGTATGGAACCCTCAGGCATGCGAAAATAGGTTAAGGTGAGAAAGAAGAGTGTGCTAGTACGGGGAGGAGGGTGCAAGGAGCTAGATTAAGACAGGTGAGGAGAAAGTAGTCGAAGTGTAAAGGATGGTATAGTTGGTTAAAAAGAATATGGGAGGGGACCTGTTCTAGGGAAAGTTGGAGATGTAGTTACCACCAAGGACTGTCGATCTTTTTTCCTTAGGCTGATTCGGGGAAGACTTCGTCCCACACCCCATCAAACCTTTTTTTGAAGAGTTCCAACGTGGCTACCGAGACAACCTCATCAAGAAGTCTGTTTCAGGCTTTGACGACTCTATGAGAGAAGTAGTTCGCTCTTCCTCTCTTTAACGCCCGAGGTTTGGCCAGTTTAGGCTGGTGTCCTCTTAAGGCTGGGTTTTCACTGAGGGAGAAAAGTTGCCTGCTAGGCTGTGAGAGTCCTTTCAGTATCTTGAAAATCTCTATCAAGTCACCTCTCCTTCGCCTGTGAGAAAGGGAGAACAAGTTTAGCTCTCTCAGGCGCCTTGTGTATGGCATCGTCCTCAAGGCAGGAAAAAGCCTAGTGAAGCGTCTCTGTACTTGTCCTAGAGCCTTTTGGTCACGAACAAGTTTCGGCGTCCATGCCTGCACGCAATACTCAAGGTGAGGTCTCACCAGGGCCTTGTAGAGGGGCAGTAACTGCAGAGTCCCTAGATGCTACTGTTCTCCTTAGCAAGAACAGCGCNGTCCTAGAGCCTTTTGGTCACGAACAAGTTTCGGCACCCATGCCTGCAGGCAATACTCGAGGTGGGGTCTCACCAAGGCCTTCTGGAGGGGCAGTAACACTGCAGGGTCCCTAGATGCTACAGTTCTCCTCAGCAAGAACAGCGCCTTGGAAGCCTTTGCTGAGGCCTGCTGACACTGTCTTGTAGACTGGATTGAATCATGGATGACAATACCCAGGTCCCTGACCTCGTCAATCATTTCGACTGCTGTGGGCCCCGTACCGTTTATCACCCTCATCTCTGCGAGAGATCCCCCTAGGAGAATCTGTTTGCACTTGCCAGCGTTTAGCGGTAACAGCCACTCCTCCGTCCACTTCTGAAATTCGTCCAGATAGGCCTGCCTGGCGTTAGTAGACGGGTCACCGACAACTTTTACATCGTCAGCAAACAGGAAGGGGGGTGTATTATCCTCTTAGTCAGGTCGTCTATGTAGATGAGGAATAAAAGAGGTCCTAGAACGGCCCCTTGGAGCACGCCACTGCAGACTGCTCCCCGAGTGAACATCTCACCCTCTACCCTGACAGAAAGTTCGGCTAAGTAGGTACTCTGTAACCCATCTGACGATCTGATCGGACAAACGGAATATCTTCAATTTTTCGATCAACAGTCGGTGGTAGACTGAGTCGAATGCTTTTTGGAAGTCTAGGTAACAGACTTCCACACGCTCCCCTCGGTCCAGCCTCTGAGTGCTCTCATCTATGAAGTCTAGGAAGTTTGACAAGCAGGACTTCTTCTGCACAAAACCGTGCTGGTTGGGCGATATTAAGCTCTGTCCCAGTACGTGTTTTGCGATGTGATCCCTCAGGATTTTTTCCATGATCTTGAGTGAAATAGATAGCAAGCTGACCGGTCTGTAGTTTCCTACACAGTTCCTGGATCCTCTCTTGTGTATGGGCACTACCTCTGCCACCTTCCAGTCTGCTGGTAGTTGGCCGTGACTTAGGGTTAGGTTAAACATATGAGCCAGCGGGTGGGCCAAGACCGTTGCCAGGGGTTTCAAGATGGCTGGGTGGATGCCATCCACCCTTGCCGATTTACCAGTGTTGAGGCGCCTCAGATGGTCCTCGACCTCTTGGGGGAGTATTTCAAACTCTGCCTCACCTGGGATGGGTCTCGGAGTAGGGTGCCCCCGGGCGTCCCATTGTCCCTTACTTGAAGTGCTTCGAAGAAGCGTCTGAAGGTCTGGGCTTTCTTCGAGCTGGCTAGTATTGGCTGGTCGTTCGCGCCCTTGAGGGTGCCTATCGTGGTACGCAACTTTGAGTTGGCTTGTACGTAATTGAAGGACACCTTGGGGCATTCCTTAATCTGCCGCGCCAGCCTCATTTCGTAGGCCCTACGACAGGCCGTCTGGGCACTGATCGCCCTATCTCCTTCCCTGCAGTCCTGGAGATACCTGTGATGGCTACGGATCCTGAGGTACTGCCTCCAAGCTTTGCGCTTTCGGGCTTGTGCCTCTGCTACCCTGCTCGACCACCAGGGAAGTTTGTCGTTTCTGCGAATCCTCCTTAACGGAGCAAACTCAGAAGTGAGCGCTGA